GGAATTCAGTTCTGACCTCATGGGTGGGCAAGGGGGGGGCTGGGGGGGTGAGCAGGAGGCTGGTGCCCCCCGCATCCCCGCGCTCTGCATCTCTTCGATGCTTCCCTGCAGCCCCCAGCTCCAGGAGATGCTGTCCTGGGGGTGGGGGTGTCCCTGGGGAAGAGAGGGTGGTGTGGGGAGGGGGTGGAGGTGGTGGGGGGCCATAGCTTGAGCCGGGACGGCAGCATTGCCCCCTTCCCGGCCGGGGCTGGGGGTCGTGCTGTGCCCCTGGTGTGGCTCCTGCTGAGGGGGCTGCTCCTGCCACCAGCTCCCAGGGAAATGGGAGTGATCCTCTGCTCCCAGGAGCGGGATGGCTGCTCTGAAGTCTTTAGTCCATGAATTATTATTATTATTATTTGTCACAATGTTTCGCTGCGTTAAATGTGTTTGAATGGGGAAAAAAAATTTTTTTAAGGCAATGTTTAGTTTTTAAGGTGATCTTTTAGACACTGTATGGAATTTTAATTTGTTTTAAAAAACGGTTTTTATCTTTTTTTTTTTTTTTATTTTTTGTGTGTTGGCTTTATACTAATCTTCCCGGTCTGCTCTTCAGTCCTTTGGATTAAAGACACTTATGGCGTCCCCCAGTCTCTCCTCCTTGCTTGCGTGGCTGCGAAGAAACACCTCGGTCCTCCAGGCTGGGTGGCCGCTCTCCTCGTGTCTTGAAATTGCTCTTTTTTTTTCCCCACCAAAGAGGCTGAGCTCCCCCAGGTTGTTCTCTGGGGACGCAGCGTTTCGCTCTTTGCAAAATCCCTTGGCTTGGGGACAGTTGCTGAAGATCTCGTGGCCGTGTCTGTCCCGGCTGCTGCACACAGAGTTTCCTCCCCAGCATGTCTGCCCCTTCCCGGGCTGGGGCTTTGGGGACGTGGGACACGGGAGGTGGGGCCGTGGGGCCGTGGCCATGGGTGCTGCGCCCGGGTGCCGACAGGGGGAACCACGTATCCGGCATCGTGGCCCGGTTGTGGGTGATGGGGCACATGTGGCCTTGGGGACTGGGGCACGTGTGGGACTGGGGCTGCCACTGGCCGTGGCCGGGTCCCCGACG